CTTCTAAAATTCTTAAAATCTATAAACAAGATAGGTAAAAATATGTTAAATAAATAATATATCAACAATATTTTACCCTTAACTCGGTTTTTGCTTTATTTTAACAAAACATCCTAATAACGAAAAGAAATAGTTTGAATACCTCTGGATATACATGTTTTTCTAGCAAAAAAAATGCATTAATAATTGATTCCCATGAGCACTCATGTACAATCACATGTAGGATATTTTGTATTTTTTAACTATTCTATTTTTCTTTCACCAAAAGAAAGGAATACAATCATCTTGCTGAATCGGCCAGTAAGTGGTTGTGCGAAAACAAAATTTTAGCTATTGCCATCTATTGACAAAATAACAAACTAATACACACCAGTTCTATTGCACAACTATTTCGGAACGACCAAATTCTGACAGCCTTTCTTCGTTAAATTCATTACTTCTAATTTAACTATATTTACTAATATTACTTATTTTTCACTTTGTAAGAATGGAAATCACCCTTTATTGGGAGTAGCCAATATATATACACAGAGGCGGCAGGTATAAGAGGGGCTTGGGAAGGCTTAGCCTCCTCAAGTAAACTATCCCTCACATCGCATTAATCTCAGAAACTCAAAATTATTGTACATACAGAGCGAAAGAGGGGGTATGTGTTCGTTGAAGATAGTTTATTTATTTAAGGGCACGAAATGATTCTTACGAACTGTGCATCCTCTTCCCACGTGACAAAATAGCCTATCCCAACGTTGCCAGGCTATTGTTAGGGTGTCGCGAGATTATAAACAAACAATGCAACAATGGATATTTTAGAGTATGTACAGTAATTTGATACGACTTTGTGTGTGTGTGTGGGGTCGTCGTCACAGCCCGAAATATTTTCTTGAGGGGTAACAGTAACAAAAAGTCTGAAAACTCCAGGCCTACCCAAACAAGAGTCACGCGCCACCTATGTGAAACCCTATTGAAACAGCTATACATTTTAAATCTATGCCAACATTTAGAGTATGGTTTGAATTTACACCATTAAACTGTCTAACGAAAACAAACACGAATGAAAGCTATCTTTACTACTGCTAATATTTTTGCCATGTCATACTCACTACCTTATCTTTCCAAGCATTTGATTTTTTGCACAGGTTTATACAAGGTGTATCAGTTGTTTTTCTAATGTATTGATTGAAAATTTGTGCAAATTCGAGCCGGCCGAAGTAACTGTTTACAAAAAAACACTATTTTTGTTTTACTTGATTATGCGTGGATACTCACGTCACTGACTTTAAATATTTTTTACTAAGCTTACCCTACGATAATGATAACCGTTTATTGATGATAAAAAATTAATTAACAGAGATTTGATCAGTAAGTATACTGTCTCAAATAAATTAAGGAAAAATTAATTATATTATAAGTGTATTCAAAAGTCTGTACTAAAATTGAAGGGAGTTTTCTGAATTTTCATTATAATTCAAAATCATATACAAAACAAAAATAAGAATAAATTTGAATTCAATCTGATCTAAAATAATGCACAAGTCTAAACACAATGTATTATTGGTATTGGAACAAAAACTAAGAATCATGTTAATCAATAACAAAAAATGAATATAATTACATGAATTATCAATTTGTTTTTTACCATTAGTAAGAAAAACTAATTTTCTTTAACTCTGAACTGTCTAAGTTTTGGCACAATTCAAGTATCTTATTAGTGGTTTATATCTTATTCAACACACTATCTAATGAAAAATCTTTTGTTGTGAAATACAAGTAATTTTATCCTTTATTTGACATTATTGAAAAAAGTACATGATGAATTTTTTTTCATATTTTCATACAATTCTACCGATTTATCAAAACAAAAAACTACCAACCTTTAGGGTTGTACTTTTTCTGGAACATTTGAATAAAATTTTCAAACATTGTCCTTTCAAGATTAATATCCTGAGGAGTGTTCTTCTCAATTTTTAGCTTTGTCTAAAATCAAATTTTCATATAATTTAATTGTTGTCACTGAGTTTCATATGCTTTAAAGGTAATTTAAAGTATATAACTTTATGAACAACAACAGAGTTTATCCCATTTTCTCAAAAAAAATATTAGAGCTACCAATTTTAAAGTGAAAAAATTTCCAAATTAACTAATTTATTTGTTGTTATCTTATGGTGAATTTTTAATCTTTTCTCTTAAAAATGGCTCCAAATCATCATCCTCCACTTTATCTGTTTATGCTTCAGTGACAAGAGGAATTTGTTAGATTCAACATGACAAATACACTATGTGCTTAAGTTTTATTTAAAGGGCAAACAAGTGATAATGAAAGGTATAATGAACAAGTAAACTACACACAAAATGTGTCATTACAATACACATCTGAAAATATTTGTTTATTACTTCTTATTAGAACTATTAAAAATCATTTAATTTTTTTACAGAAAGTTCTTTTTTTAAATAAAATTACAAGCTAGATATTTTTTGTTTTATGTTGTGTAATAAAAGTTTTCACTTTCATGCTCATGACTGAGTGTTCTCAAAATTAGTTTTGATTTATAAAATTCATAAATGATACGGAAGGCTCTTAAAGAGAGATGTGTTATGCTTACTTTTAACATGTTGGATTCACTTTGTACATTCTAATATATCATACTGAATTATATAAAAGTATTCCATGTAAAGGTCATGAACAAAAATGTAGAAAATAAATTTATCCAAATACCTCAATAGCAAAAACTTACAAACAGCATGTTCTGTAATATAACACATTTGATCTAAATGTAATTTGAAATTTTGCAGTCTTGAATTAATCTATGCCTGATTATGGGTGCCAAGTAATATTTACTTAAAAAAAAAATGACCTGATGTGTAATATTTCAAACTATATTTTAATAAGTGGCATAATTTTATACCAGTTCTGTCTTTTTGTTCCATGGAGTTTTACAAATAACCTACAGATTTTTCAAATACTTGTTTGTTGATGAAAATTTTATCTATAGTTTAACTCAATTTACATATTTTCTGATAGTTATAGTCTTTAGAGATTAAAAAACTATTTAAATAAAACTGATGCAAACATGGTTATTATATATAATATTAAGCGTTACTTGAACTCTGTTTAACAATCTGTAGATATTTAATATATCTTTCATAAAAGATTTTTGTGATGTACAATTTTAAATCAATGTATGTGATATTTGCTAATTATTTTAGTAATACTTCTAAATATCTTATAGGTACCTAACATTTTAATTCTATGTTTTTTAAATATACATATTTTACAATATGACACATGCAGTGTCGAATTTTTTTTTTACTAGTCACATCTAAGAGATTTTACATGGGTTAAACACAAACACGTATATAAAAATAGTAGTTCAAGCTTAGACACAAACTGGAAAAAACAAACAACATAATGAGAAAATAATTCCTTTAGACTTGCCAAAAAGAAAATTAAGCTTGTAAAACTCTTAGAAATCATAAAATGTTGAGTAACAACAAAAAGTATTATTTAACTTCCTAACAAACTGAACAAAATGGAAGGAACCATAAGCTAATTTCCTATAAAACTGATTTTCCATGCATATATTACAGTGCTAACATCACATATTACCTGTATAGCTGAATCATATACATTATGGTTTATGAAAAAAAACATTTATTTATTTATCTGCTAATAGTTTGAATTTTAATAGTGAAACAAAACAATTAAACAAATTTATCTGGTTTTTCCTACTGTTATTGGCTTATTTTCTACATAACTCAGTGAGTTTAACAGATCAAAGAAATTTTCTCTCAATATTTAAATATTGTTTCAGCAAAATTTAACTGCTATAGTTTGAAACAAATTCAGAGAATATAGTGCAACTAAACTAAACAAATAATTAACATGAAAGTAAAAATTCTATTCAGTCCTACATGTTGAAAAATAAACAATTCAGTCAT